GGGGGGGGCAGGTGCAAATGAAGATGTACTTTTGCGACATCCCACAAAAGCTTTGCGAAATCCAGAAGAAGTTTTTGATTTACATCCATGCACTTCCAGGCCAGTATGGAGTTCTTGAAAAGAATCATAGCGACGTAAGACACACGCCCACGGGAGAGATTTATAGTTTTATTTTGAGTTCGGGCTAAACTGTGATGTCATTAAATCAGAGCTTTATTTAAGAGAGAGACATCTGAAGAGAGCTCTTACTGTAAGGGAAAACACTCGTGGCAAGGCGTGCCCTGACCTGGTGGCCTGGGTTACATTCATTAGCAACCACCTGCAGTGTTCTGGACAGCTTCACGGGTACTAATGGAAGTACGATAAATGCAGGGAAAAGTGTTTCTCAGGATCTTGCAAAACTTTTGTGGAAACTCCGGATTTCTCCAATGTTCCTTGCGGATCTGACGCAGAAGTACAATTCACATGTTTGTCATTGCCAGCATTTGCACTTGTGGCAAGGTGCCTGCGTTACTCTGCAGTTTTGCTGCCAGAACACTAGTTGGACGTTCTTGAGCCGATTAGAGTCGAAAAGAAGGCCAAGAATAGTTGTAGCAGGGTGCATTAACACAAGGAGCAGGCTGCAGGCTTAATGCAGGCTGCATTAACGTAATAGCAGTTCTAGGTAGGTCCACATCAGGCGCAAGTTCATAAAGAGTTTGCTGTTACAACATAACAACAGCGTATATTTAACACAGAAGCATAAATACCACTTAAAGCAACACTTCTGTCCGCTCTGTTTTATTTTTGTGGGGTCATCTGCGCACCCTGATGGCCAGAGAAAATAATTTTTATGGGTAATCTTGAATTCTTCTGTTCCCCTTTGGAGATCTAAAACTAATCCGTTTATCTGCTGTTGTTGTACATAAATTATTTTTTCTGGGGTATAGCTAGTTCTGAAGTTTTCCCATTTTTTGCACAAATATTACACATGCACAACCTTTGGGAAATATGTCTTTTTTTTATAGTGTATCGTTTGTTTCTTTGGCGATATTGTCCTGTAATCCCAAATGGTACATCGAGCTGGCAGAACCACACATTCTCATTTCATATCTTTTTCTTTTCACAGCCTTTCAGGATCTGGGAGTGTTTCGATAATTTTGGAGATTTTTTCTTTCTTTCTTTTTTTATTGAAGCCCCATACCTGTAGTCAAAGATAATAAAACAAGCTTTAAACTGTAACAGTACTATACAAGTGTGTTTTTGCACTGGCTTGGAAATAAAGAAAAAGAGTTGAAAGACTCTTATATGAAGAAAGAAATCAAACGATAGTCAGTCCCTTTCACTCGAGACAAAAATATATACTGTTATATCAAGAAAGTGGGCATTACAGCAGAATTCAACACACTGAGAAGTGATCCGAAATCAAACGTGATTCTTAGTGATTATGTGTTTACTCTTCATTGGATCTGTATGTACAGCAGCCACGTACTGAAACTGGAAACATACTTTGAAAGAAATATGCACTCTAATTAGAGTCATCGTACAATATATGTCACCATGAAACCATAAATATAAATATACATACACATTTACAAAAAGCCGGGCTCTTAAAAGTGCTGCAGACAGTGTAGAAAACAGGCGAAGATAGAGGGTCACACTGCAGTCCAGGGCTTCACTCTGCAAAGGTTTGTGTACATAGTTGCTGGAGGTATTTGATTCATTACTTAGACCCCAGACAAGAAGCTATCAAAACTGGTCTCTTAAACAGAGGGGACCATATTTGGTATAACGGGTTCTTTGTTTAAGTAGGTTGCCCAATAGACGAGGTTGAAGATGCCAAAGAGAACAGGAAACAAAATCCGTGACAACCTGTCAATTTTGCTGACACTGTTGAAGGTCTTCTTGCTTTCTTGGGCCTTGCCATCCGCTTTGGGCTTGTTTGGGTCCGTCGCTCCGCCTTTGGCGATGGTGGGAAGAGTACTGGAATCCTTGGTCACGTTAGGCGCGTAGTTGGCTACTGCTACAGCGTAGGCGTTATTCTTCTTGACGATGGAGGCTCTCTCTTTCTTCTGTTGAGAGACCAAAAGGATTACCTGGAAAGGCAGCTTTACTTGTCACCATCTGCCCCTGAATTTCAAAATGCATTTACATGAAGAGAGCGGAAAGACCCCGGTAATGGATCGAGCACATTTTGCAAAGTCAGAATGAAGACCACTTTTATTTTATCCAGGGATGTGCAGTTTGTGGCAGACTTATCCATGAACAGGAGGTCTAAATACTGTCTTCCATCACCCATCTTATATCCCACCTCGTGGTGAAAATTAAAACTTTATGAGGAGACAGGAAAATTACATTACAGTTGCAATTTCAAATGAATGATGAAAGATTTCTTTCACTGCATTTTAAAGACTTTTCTTCAAACCTAGCCCTCTGATAATCTGCATTCTCCCTTTCAGGTTAAAGGAAATGATGGTTCATTGCTTCATTGAGCAGCTCCAGAAAAAATTCCTTTTGTTGTCTTTTTATGCTATATAAGATGAGCCTGCACTTATATGAGCCAGCAACTTTAATTACCACTCCTGTGGTAATTAATTGTTTAACTAAGACAGTCAAGTGCTTTTTATCTTTCTCGTTGTTTGCATGAAGGTATCATTTCTGTTGAGATTTTGTGCTTCCTCACTGACCAGAACACGTCCTCTCTGTTTTTGTTTTCTCATTACGTTGAACTGATTTTATGCAAGATTTGCTTTCATTTCCTAAAAAAAAAAAAATGTCTGGATGTTTATCCAGGCATTTATTTTTAAATTTATGTTTATACCTAAATTTTATTTCTTGATTTTCCTTCTACCCCTGATATAATGTAATGTCGTACAACATGTTTATCAGAGTTTGTAGTTTTAGACAGATCAAGACTTTTCTGTGGTAGTTTGAGGGTTAAGCGCTCTGCTGAAGGGCAAGTCACTATGTAGTTAAATGAGACGAGTGGATTAATGGTACTTTATGTCACTGTCACCCTAGGCAGGGGTCGGCACCTCACTGTGGCTGCTGCAAAAAATAAATGAAACTTTATGAAAAAAAACCCTAATATTACATCTGGTATCTGTCTGTCCGTCCACGTGTGTGTGGCTCTTTTTCTCCTGTTTGGTAGGAGGGGCTAAAATGGCTCTTTAGATGTTGAAGATTGCCGACCCCTGCCCTAGGGAAAACAATAGTTGGAGTCAGCGGCACAAGCAAAATTACTGTGGCCGTGTGCTATGATTTTGTGATCCTCTTAGCTTTGAAATAGCTATTTCAAAGATGGGGACCAGGCCCGCAACCACTCACACTCAGTTCCCATCTCAAAAGACACTTTGGCACATCAAGACAACAATAAGATGGAGTCAGTCTGCTATTAGTTTGCGACTTTCGGGGTTCAAGTTGACAGTTACATGCAATCTGTGATAAAAAATTAACATTAACTACTTACATTCATTAGTTACTTGGACTCTTGGATTCTAAAAGCAAGTAGCTGATGTGAATTTCAGTTTAATGTGAATTTCTATATACAGTGGGGCAAAAAATGTCATGGTTGGCTGTGTGGCAGGCGGGCATGCAGGAGTGGTGGATCCAAAATACAGGACTCAGACACAGAAGTTCAACTTAAAGCGCAGCTTTATTGCTGGAAAACCTCTTACTAACTAAACTCACCAAAAGACAAACAAAAACGCTGGTGGACTAAAACACTGAAGCAGAAATACTGAACTGGAACTAGAGCTGGAAACAAAACACTGGTAACACGGAGGCAAAACACACACAGCTTGTTGAGGGTACGACGCAACACTGACT